TGAAGTCACACGCCAGGCCGTCATTTGAGTGGAACCGGACTGAGAAACAACTAGTTAAGCGTGCTAGTGTCACAAGGAGAAGATCGTGTGAGGAGGAGGTGAGAGGGTGTGTGGGGCAATCGTTAAGCCAGCTAGAGAGGACTGTAGAGGACATGGTGAAATGGAAATTTTCTGTTGAAGCCCTATGTTCCCCTCGGAATCCAAAGGAACAATAATAATAATAATAAAAATTTACACATTGATGTAGTACCGTATTTTGGATGTATCCTAACACAGTATTACATAGCAATTTCAGAAATTTCCTGATTTAGATGATTATTTTCACTCTTCATTTTTTGTATACATTTCCATATTAAAAATCTGGTTATATACACTACAACATTTCCAACCTTCTGTTCTTAAATCCATCTTCTTCACTGCATTTGAGTATATCCTTTGCATAAATTGATTTTTTTTATATATTGTATCGAAAACCAGTGAGGTTGAGGCAGCTTTTAAAGATTCGCATTTATAGCAGCGAAATTGACTAGAAGGCACTAACAAGAGCTGTTTAATAACCTGAAGAAAAAGCTTTCTTCAAAAGCCAATGTCCTAATTCAGCTCTAATTCTTATCTAGTTTTAACCAACTGTAAAGTTGACCAAAATCTGACCTCGAAACCTTAATGATAGCCCTTTAGATTAATAGTTATATTTAAAATATTGCCTGCGCGTCGGTGGCATAGTGGTTAGGACGCTCGCCGACCATGCACATGGTCTGGCGTTCGATTTCCGGCCGACGCACTCCTTTACCTCGCTAAACCAGAAATAGTACTGGTAAAGAGGAAAGGTTGGGCATGAGGCTGGCAACCCCATCCTGTAAAAATAAACACTGCTACAGAAACTTCAAGCCTCTAGCTTGAAGCCCTATGTTCCACTGGGGAACGTGAAGGAAAAAAAAGACTGCCTAATGAACAGATAATATTCTCTTCGATAACTTCTTATCAATGAAATTCCACATTTAAATGACAGGAATAATCAAAGAAGTATTCTTATTTACAACATCAATGCTATTTGAAATTACATTGGATCAGTAGCAACGGCAGACTGATTAAATTTCAAAGCATCAGTAACAGCGATATATATATATATACATATACTAATATTTCTTTTTATACTACAGCTTGATTCTACACCGTATTTTCGATACAAGTATGAAATTTTCAGCATGTGAAATCGGTAGCCCAAATTTTGCAAGCCGACCAATTGATATCAGGTGGGCGTTGGTAGGGCATAGAACACCGGACCATTTGCATGGTCGGCGAGAGTCTTAACCGCTATGCCATCGATGCAAACTAAACTGACTGAATATCAGACAAATTAAGGGAAGTAACACAGAATATATGAATTTTTAGGTTCGACAGCTGGTTGGTCAGGATGGCAATAGTGGCTAGCTGGCCATGCTTCTTTCACACACAGAGCTCCGACTGTTTTAGGTGTATTGCAGTGGCAATTGCAACGAATTGGTAGATACAATTAGTGGTGGCTAGACTAGGTACTTCACCTTTCATTTGAGGAATTCCAAATGTTTGTGTTCAAAATATAGGTTACAGCTCACCAGCATTCAGCGTTCTTTGAATGGATTTTCTCAAACAATTGTTGATTATTGCTTCACTTGAAATATCCTCGTTGGATTGTAGTTGTATTTACAGAGGCATCTTGTTCACAGATGCAGAACAATTCTTTCTTGCAGTCTAAGCAGTGTGTTTGGTGAGGAAGTTTCCATGGTAGCTGTTTCTAGTTAATGTGTCATACACAACCTTAAATTCGTCTTCAATTACATCTTCTGAAAACAAATAGATCTGGCTCTATATCTGAGGGTCTTTACTAGATCTCTGGTAAAATTTAGGAATCAGATATTGAGGGAAAATATTTACTTCCCGATAAGAATTTAAAGCAAGCAGCAGCACTGAAAGCGGACCCGGAGACGACAGCAGATATGCTCGCTCCATTACTGCAAAAGGTCTGGAAGGAGGGAAAGGTGCTTACTGACTGGAGGAAAGGTTACCTTGTGAAACTACCAAAGAAGAGCGACTTAGGACTCTGCAAGAACTGGCGAAGAATCATGCTGCTGTCGACGCCAAGTAAAATACTGAGTCGCATCATCCTGGAGACGATAAAGGACGCACTGGATACAGAATTCCGACCAGAACAAGCTGGATTCAGGAAAGGCAAATCATGTTCTGACCAAATTGCAACTCTACTCATCATTATCGAACAAAGCATGGAATGGCAATCAAACCTCTACCTCAACTTTACAGACTTTGACAAGGCCTTCGACAACGTTGACCACGAAGTAATTTGGAAACTACTCGAGTAATACGGCGTACCCCAAATATTCATCAACCTTATTCAACATCTGTACGACAACGGCACATGTCAAGTGATCCACAACTGAAAACTCAGCGAGGCGTTTGGAGTAAACACAGGAGTCAGACAAGGGTGCTTATTATCACCAATGATATTCCTAATTGAGGTGGACTGGATTATGCGTCAGACAGTGGGAAACGAGAAGACAGGGATATCCTGGACCACTGACGTGAAGAACCTAGAACACCTGGATTTCGCGGATGATTTTTGTTTGATGTCATACAAAATCGAAGACTTACAAGCAAAAACCGACAAACTGGTCGGAGAAGCAGCCAGAGAAGATAGGACTCCAGGTGAACATAGACAAGACGGAGGTTATGAAAATAAACAACCAACAACAACAACAACATCCAACGCCAATCATCATCAACGGGAGGGATTTGGTGAAAGAGGTTACTTCATTCACTTATCCAGGTAGGGAGCATTGTCTTAACTACAGGAGACAGGAACGGACGAGGATGTCAAATCGAGAATCGGGAAGGCGAGAAACACATTCATCAACCTGAAACCAATCTGGAAATCTTCGTCACTCAACTCAGCATCAACAACAAAGCGATTCGGATTTTCAATACAAACGTCAAGTCAGTCAGTTCTTCTATACGGATGGATCAGAAACTTGGCTGGCCACAAAGAATATTTCCAACAGCCTGTTGCACACCTTTATCAACAACTGTCTTCGCTCTATACTCAAGGTCAGATGGCCAGAAAGAACAAGAACCAACAAGAGACTATTGGAAGAGACAGAACAAGAACCAATCGGCCAACGAATATGCAGGAGAAAGAAGTGGAGATGGATTGGACACTCCCTGAGGAGACCGCTGGGTGACATCGCCTGTCGGGCCATGGCTCGAGTGGAACCCAAAATGGAAGCGGCGAGTAGTGAGACGTCCAAGGGTGACATGGAGGAGATCGTGTGATGAGGAACTGAAACAGTAAGGACTAACATGGACGCAGGTGAAAAGTACAGCAGAAGACAGAAGCAAGTGGAGACGTGTAGTTGAAGCCCTATTTTCCACTAGGAACCCAAGGGAACAATAATAATAAGCAAAGATTATTATGTAAGGTAGACCACTTCAGCTATCCACACAGGGATGTATATATATAAGCAATAAGAATTACACTGGGGGATATAAGACTGGTTAGCGAATAAACTACATTGAATCAGTCACGTAAAATGTTAGGTGTGAATGTTTTATCATGCGATGTTCTAATAGGTAAGGGGAAGGAAGTATGAGAGACTCAGATTAAAATAAAATCCATTACGGTTCAATTGCATCACTTAAATAAACAATTAGTTATCAGAGAAAGAAATTGAATATATAAGAATTGTGAGCTGAATAATATTGATGATAATAGTGAAGGTAAAAGTAATAGTAATGATAATAATGATAATGTTAAAACGAGTTAAGATAGTGGTAATGATAAAAGATAGTTTCAAATGAATTAGGAATAATAAAAAGAGGTAAAATAAAGTATTAATAATCCCAGCAGTTGATAAGTGGAATATTATTACTATGGTAGATTCAGAGTGACTACCATTTCCTTTTGCACACAGAATACTGATTTATAAACTCTAAATGCACAAGCCTCAGCAGTTACATGCATTTTCCTGTTTGCTTGTCCTCTTACAACACTGAGTGATTAATTCAGCGTCAATATCATTTCCGTAGTCCACAAGATGCTTTTTTATCGTACCTCTTTGCACTTTGAGTCCAGCTGTTCTCAGCCTCCCTGGAAAATGTTCCGTCATGTGAGTAGACAATCCCCTTTGTATACTACCTGTATATTTGCTCCCACAAATGCACTCAAACTGATATACTCAGTTTGAGGTGTAGAGGATTGGCGACTGGTATTTCCCAGATTGTTGAGGCAACCGCTTGTTGGTTTTAAGGAAGACGAGTTTTACAACATAATAAGTCCTCTTGATAGCTTTATCGAGTCTTCGCTTGACCGAATCTTGTATATTGTCTCCTTTGAACGGCAAATTGATATAGACCGATTTCTTCGGAACTGTTTGGATAGTTTTACTAGGGTTCATTTATTTGGAGTATTTCTTGATGAAACTCTCAAGAGATCCATCCTTAGACAAAATATCCTTCATAGTCTTTAATAAACGACAATGTATAAAACAAGTGAGAGGGAAGGAATAGGCTTAGCACACAATAAAAACTAAGAGACATTGGAGGGCTATTTCACCGTAGTTTCGGAACTCTTCAGCAGTACTTATCAACAGTCACACTAAAGTACCTTCAGACTACCAAGGAAGCCTCCTGACTGGTGAACCATTGGGTATAAATTCCAGGGTTCTTGAACTATAACTCCTGTCATTTGGCGTAAAATAACGCCACTGCTAACCAGTGTCATCTATGAGCATTCACTTTACATTGGGGAAATTCACTCATCACAATAAACCCAGAAAATTTGAATGATTTGGATGAATTTACGTTAGTTGTAATCTTCTTATTTCAGGGTTTGTTTTCTATATATGTCTTTGCCACAAGATCTAAACGATTGTCTATAGTTTCCACTGAATTGACAAATCATTTCATACTGTCTTTATTTATAAAAATAACCCAAATTATTCTTCACTAACCTGGGATAAGCGTCTCGATGACTGATCTTCTAATACAAGTGGATTAGAAGTTTCAACTAAATCGTTTATTCGTCTCCAATGATCACCATGATCCTTAAATAAAAACCAAAATAAACTTATCAGGTAAACAGTTTACTAAATGCAAAAGTCTCCATGAACACTTTATGCACAGTGGACGTGAATATGGTAGTTTTTCAAACAAGAAGTGTTGTTGATAATTAAAATTCATAATTAATAAATTACACCGTTCAGGGTGAATATTTTACAAGGATTTCGTTATGAAATCAAAAATACACTAAGGATCACAATCTCTGATATGCTTCATATCATATATGGTAATACAAGAAGGCAAGAAAACCAATGGAGTGAACATTAAACAATAAAGATCCTTGGAATGAGTAAAACTGACTGATCCTGGGACAACTAATCCGAAGAAACAGAGGTTGCTGCATAAAAATGACGTTTATTTACAAGAGAAATACAAAGAATAATGATGAAGCATATTAAACAGAATATTTTCCCAAATGTGACTTGAAAAAATACCTCCAAATTATAATAAGGAGTCGCAGATTTTAAGTTAGACCGACTTCTCCATTTATATTTATCGTGGTGTCTAAAGATGAGTTCTTTTTGTGACTCGTTTATTGCTCTTACCTTATTTTTCAGTCTTCCACAGAATCCCTCAATTTAATTAGCATTGGTTCCAGTAAGTGAATCGACAAGTATTCGCTAGAAAAATGCTGATAATAGAAATAAAACACCCTTACCATAACCCCAAACTTAACCCTAAACATTCGTGAACAGCATTCATTGAGGAGCTTCATTAATGATAGATCTCATCACCTAAAGAATAGTATGCGTTCAATGTTATCAGTGCGTTCGCACTCCTGGAATGCTATACCTCAACTGTGTCACAGTATGACAGCATACATTAATTTATTAGTTAGTAGCTTTTCCATGTTTTTCCAGTTTCAGTCAATAAAAATTTATCTTTTAATTCCTGACTACTGATATGTACATTACAGTAGTATCGAATAATAACATGACAATGGAGGATGATTGGAAATATGACTGCGATAATGTCGTTAGAGAATATTTGATTCCTGGTCTGAACCTGACAGTCTTATTTGAGGAGACAGAAATAGTGAGTGAGGAAACATCTGACTTTCAATTGAATCTTCATCTGTGACTCTACTCCAATATACAGGGCATTTTGAATATAATTCAAAAAATTTTACCAACCCAATGAAGAAGATATCAACAACTGTCTTCGCTCTATACTCAAGATCACATGGCCGGAGAGAACAAGAAACTATGGGAAGAAACAAAACAAGAACCAATCGCTCAACAAATATGCAGGAGAAAGTGGAGATGGATTGGACACTCGCTGAGTAGGCCGCTGGGTGACATCACGCGTCAGGCCATAGCTCGAGTGGAACCCGAAAGGGATGCGGCCAGTGGGATGTCCAAGGGTGACATGGAGGAGATCGTGTGAAGAGGAATTGAAACAGTATGGACTAACATGGATGCAGGCGAAAAGTACAGGAGCAGACAGAAACAAGTGTAGACGTGTAGTTGAAGCCCTATATTCCACTAGGAACCCAAGGGAACAATAATAACAATGAAGATAGGTCTGTAAACAAAAATAATTCAATATCACCGTATCAATGGGGGTGGGGTGATAATTAACTTAAAAAATCAGAACAGCTTTTGAGGCAGTTAATAATGAACTGAATATTGATCCTGATATCAAAAGGTGAACTAAACACTCTGTTGATGAAATACTATTAGCTGTTCAGTTATGTCTAACCTCCACTATATTCAAATTTCAAAATAAACTGTATCATTTCATACTGACAGTCCACTCTGTATTAGTTTGAATAAAGAAATAAGGAACATATTTGCAGGATAATACGAGCTCGTTTTATCTCGTGGATTCTCCTCAACTGGAGAAACAAGTCATGCATTGATCAGATCGCCACATTACGGATCATCATTGAACAAAGCTTGGAATGGCAGTCACCTCTCTATCTCAACTTCACCGACTTTGAAAAGGCCTTCGACAGCGTCGATCGAGAAGTGCTTTGGCAACTACTTCGCTACTACGGGTTACCACCGATAATTATACATCTCATCCAACAGATGTACGACAATGCTGCATGCCAAGTAATCCACAACGGAAAACTTACGGAATCCTTCGAAGTGAGGACAGGAGTAAGACAAGCTGGCTGCCTGCTATCGCCAATGATTTTCCTGATTGCAGTAGATTGGATAATGCGACAAACAGTGGGCAATGAGGAAACAGGCATAAAATGGACTCACACAAAAAACTTGGGGGATCTGGACTTCATCAATGATATATGTCCGATTTCCCACAAACTGGAAGATATGCAAGCGAAAAGTAACAAGTTGTCAGAAGAAGCATCAAAGATAGGAAGGACTTCAGGTGAACACAGAGAAAACAGAGGCGATGAAGATTCCTGGACAAGAACAACAACAACAGACAACGATCAGCATAAATGGGAGGAACCTGAAGGAAACAACCTCCTTTACCTACCCTACCTGGGAAGCATCGTTTCAACTATAGGCGGAACTGACGAAGATATCAAAGCAGCGAGGATCGGGGAAGGAAGACAAGCTTTCATTTCTCTCAAGACTGTATGGAGGTCAACACTCATTATGAAAAATAAGATCCGGATTGTCAACTCCAATGTGAAGTCAGTCAGTGCTGCTATACGGATCAGATACTTGGCCAGCGCATCGTGAAGAGCACCTCAAACAAACTACAGACCTTCATTAGCAGCCAGTTTTCTTCGCTCAATACTCAAGATCAGATGGCCAGCCAGAGTTGATCAGCAACAGGGCTCTCTGGAAGCGAACCAACCCAGCAGGAACCAATTGTGCAAGAAATAGGCAGGAAGAAATGTAGATGGATTGGCTGGCCATACTCTGAGGGAACCATCAAGTGACATCGCTGGACAAGCCATTGCTCGAGTGGAACCCGACAGAATGGGAAGCGGCAAGTTGGTCGTCAGTGCAAGGGTGACTTGAAGGAGGTCATGTGAAGAGGAGATGAAAACGTGTGGGCAGACTTGGAGCCAGGTGAAGACTGTAGCAGAGAACCGAACTCGATGGAGACGCACGGCTGAAGCCCTATGTTCCTCTAGGAATTAAAAGAAACAATAATAATATCCTCAACTGCGTACATCTTAAATAATAAATCAATTATATGTTACAAAATAGTGTCTGAACATGCTTTTTACAGGGATTTCAAGTTGTGGAGAGAAATTATAAGCAACACACCTTCAAAGATGGTGAAAATGGAAAATTATTTAGTGTTAAAAGAGTAACTATTTATATGTTAATTAGATAAGGAGGTGCAGTTCTGATTCCGCTTGGAGACAAGGATAGACTAGAGACAAATATAAGATACAATAACAGAGTTAATTTATACATATTATGATGGAGAGTTCTAGAGGGTGGGGGTGAATAGCGAAGTAAAATTTTAAAATAGACAGAATAATTTAATGTAGTATATTTGAAACCTAAATTGTGAGTTCAACTTAGTGAGTGGAAATCGCAATCAAGATTGAGTTCAGTGTTACGTAACAGAACAAAACACAAAAGCATATGAAAAAAAACAATTGTGGTTAACAGGTATGGTAGTGAAACATTGGTTACACTCTCTTTCTGTATTCATAGGTCATGTCGAAGTCTTTTGACGCCAGTGACTTCTGCGAACCAAAGTAACCATGCTTTTCTTTGTGTATTGATTATTTTGAAAGCCTAACTAATTTCCACTGTATATCCCGTGTCAATTAGGTGTGTCTGGCAATCGCGCTTGAGAATACTTCGCCACTTTGAAAACGAAGACTTTCAGGAATATGCTACTAGAATCTAGTAGAATCTCTCACCTCAGTCGTTACTATGGACCTGCTGCCTCAAGTGCAGGTGAATTGGTAGATACAATTGGGGGTGACATACGGAGCAGGATACTTATCTACTTTTGACTGGGTTAACGAGCATACTGTGTTGTGAAGGAAACTGAGTCTAGTGACGCGAAATGTTCTATTCAATTCTCCTTTAATTCTGTTTTCCATTCTTATGGAATCCATTTCTAACGAGTTGATCACGGATTGATATCAGTTAGAGAACCACTGAAAACCAGCAGGGAGTACTGGACAGCTGCTGTTTCATCCTAGTTTGGGGATCATCGGCAGTACGCACCCACTGGGATTCGAACCAAGGACCTTCCGGTTACAAGGCAAGCTCGTATACCATTCAGCCACTAGGACCCGATTCAATAGCTCATGAATTCTAACTTCTACCAATTCGTGATTTAGAGATACCCCAACCATTGTCGTTGGTGGGACATCCATCCCCACACGTGACATCTAATTGGACCTCACTGGTCACGACTTCTCACTAGAACTCCAAGAAACTCCATCCTCTAGCAAGTCACTAGCAACCCTTAAAACCCAAACTATAGAAAATTAATCTGATGCTCGCTAGTGACTTGCTACAGGATGGAGTTTCTTGGAGTTCTAGTGAGAAGTCGTGACCAGTGAGGTCCAATTAGATGTCACGTGAGTGGATGGATGTCCCACCAACGACAATAGTTGTGGTTGCGTTAAATCACGAATAGGTAGAAGTTAGAATTCATAAGCCATTGAATCGGGTCCCAGTGGTTGAATGGTATACGCGCTTGCCTTGTAATCGGAAGGTCCTGGGTTCGAATCCCAGTGGGTGCGTACTGCCGATGATTCCCAAACTAGGATGAAACAGCAGCTGTCCAGTACTTCCTGGTTTTCAATGGTCCTGTAACTGATATCAATCCGTGATCAACTCGTAAAAACACAACAAACCCTTACAAACCAAACTATAGGGAATCCATTTCTATGACAGACAACGCAGAAATTCAAAAATTTCATTCTGCCCAACAAGAGATGTCCCAATCTAGGATGGGAACTCTGCCCACTACTCTGCTGTTTTCTGATGGTTCTCAAAACGATCCCGTCTATGATGAAATCTACAATGAAATTCATCAGTATTGCTAAAAATAACCCAAAATTTGAAATAATTTATATTTTCTAGCAAACTTTACTTGAATTATAAAATTATAATTATTATTATTGTTTCCTTTAGTTCCTAGAGTAACATTTACTCAGTAACATAAAACTCTTATTTCTCTGGCGTTTCTTGCCGGTATGCTGTGGAACTTATTGAAGATATTTGACTCGCGAACACTGAATCTGTGGATATAAACTTGTTGACTGATAATACCTATAACAATAAATAATATCTATAATTGTATATTTTGTTGGATTTACATACCCAATTTGACCCAAGTCAGTGAGTCTATTGTTTTGATATCATTTTTGTTAACTGTATTTGACTGTGATACTACTGCTACGGGTTCTTTTGTTGTTGTTGTTGTCACTGCCCTTCCTGTTAAGAATTTGTTTTCTTTTTGCTGGTGTTGTCCTGAATCTAAGGGGAGCAACCCGTAAATTCGCTCCTCTGTAAACTACATATACCTGTAACAACCACCTTCTCAGACGTGAGGCTAGCGACCCCACCGTGTAAAGAAAGCTGCTACAGAAACTTCAGCACGATGAGTCTCCTTGTGACAAAAGAAAATGTCTGTGTGGGAACATGGAACGTCCGCACCATGCACGAGACTGGCAAAGCTGTCCAGATTGCGAACGAGATGAAGTATAAAAGTTAATTATAAATTCAAGTAAATGTCAATGCTGGTGAACATTGAATCGTTTGCTTATTCGAACTAGTCTCCATTTGGCGGGAGACAAGAAAGCTGTCATTGCTTAATCGTGTACTGACTGGTTGGCAGAAGATTGGAGAAATACGATCAGAAGTATTTAAAAAAATTTTTATTATAGCTTGATTCCACACAGTATTTTGGTACAAGTATGAAATTTTCAGCATGTGATATCGGTGGCCCAAATTTAGCAGACCGACCATAGATATCAGGTGTGCGTCGGTGGGGGATCGAACCTCGAACCATGTGCATGGTCGGCGAGAGTCCTAACCGCTGTGTCACCGACGCACAGACTTTGGCACTGATTAACCATTGTATATCTGTTTCATTATCAATTGAACAATAAACCATCGTGTTGTTCAGCCGTTTTTGCTTGTTCCGTGACGGTTACAGTGCATAGTGTTCTGTGTATTAAGGTAAGTCTTCTGAAACCAGCAACAGATCCAGGATCTCTGTGATCCTGACGGTAATCTTATTCCCACTTTCACTGATACATCCGTGTTTCTTCAGAGTTCATTGACATTAATATACTCAAGATATAACTGTAGTATTCATTGACTCAAGAGAAATATTATTATAATAGTATGAATTGCTGTTCATGAAATGTTTTATAAAGTGGAAATTCCCATTTAGAATATTCTTTTCAACAGATTCTTCTTCTGATTCTACAACTATTCGAGAATAATCATCATTAACAATATTGTTATCAGTTAGAGAACCATTGAAAACCAGCACCGAAGTACTGGACAGCTGTTTCATCCTAGTTTTGGGAATCATCGGCAGTACGCACCCACAAATTGACAGAAGTTAGAATTCATTGGCCGTTGAGCCGGTTCCCAGTGGCTGAATGGTATACGAGCTTGCATTGTAACCGGAAGGTCCTGGCCTCGAACCCCAGTGGCTGCGTACTTCCGATGATTCCCAAAGTAGGCGGATGAAACAGCTGTCCAGTAATCCCTGCTGGTTTTCAATGGTTCTCTAACTGATAACAATTCGTGATCAACTCGTAAAAACAAAACTGATCCTTACAAACAAACTATTGAAAATTAACAATATTGGTGCTCTTTTAAATCATGTCGATTTGCTAAATAAGACCAATGGAATTACAGTACAACAAAGATGCACAAGTTGTATTTAGAATTTTTTTAAAAGTCAATACTAAAAAAATATCAGATAAAATTAGGAAGAAAAATCGTATAATAAATCAAGGATAATTAGAACCTTCATGTCCAAGGTAAGGAAAGCGTTTGAACCAACTTCTTCTTTTAGATACATAAGTCATACTTCTTAATGTGAATTCTGACAGCATCATCAATATGCGTAACAGACCAACTTTTGAGGTAAAATTAAGATTAGCAGTCGGTATACAATAGATAACTTTGATAGTCTTGTTAACATCAATCTTGTATTCTGTATTGATGAGATGAGATGAGATAGAATACAGCTAGCTATGAATGCACTTTGTCCGTCACTTGCTTAACCATACAGGATGGTGGTGGGATATCCAACGACATTCTTTTTTTATTTCTTTACGTTCTTAGTGGAAAACAAGGTTTCAAGCAAGAGGCTTGAAGTTTCAGTAGAAGTGGTGTTTATTTTTACGGGATGAGGTTGCTAGCCTCATGCCCAACCCGCCCCCCTCTCTCAAACAGTCTTACTACTGGCTTATCGAGATAAAGGAGTGCGTTGGCAGGGGATGGAACCTAGGACAACATGCGTGGTCGGCGGACACTCTACCGCTGTGCCACTAACACATATTATTATTATTGTTTACTTTAATTCCTAGAGGAACATAGGGCTTCAGCCACGCGTCTCCATTGCGTTCGGTTATCTGCTATAGTCTTCATCTGGCTCCAAGTCTGCCCACACGTTTTCATCTCCTCTTCATATGACCTCCCCAAAGTCACCCTTGCACTGACGACCAACTCACCGATTCCCTTTCGGCCAGGTTCCACTCGAGCAATGGCTTGTCTAGTGATGTCACTCACTTGATGGCTTGTTTCCTCAGAGTATGGCCAGCCAATCCATCTCCATTTCTTCCTGCCTATTTCTTGCACAGTCGGTTCCTGATGTGTTGGTTCGCTCACTGCCAGAGATCCGTCTCTGTTGCTGATCAACTCTGGCTGGCCATGTGATCTTGAGTATTGAGCGAAGACAACTGTTAATGAAGGTCTACTGCTAGAGGAACTTCAGCACGCAACTAACACATATCCGACGATAAATAAACTTTGTTGTAAGCCCTATGTAACTGGCTCCCCAAAAGAACAGTCAGATTGAAAGAGACAAAATTGTATTGTTTATCTTTAACTTCCAAACGTAGAACCGTCGGCAGATTCATTAGAAAACTACACATGAAATTCAACTCATCTATCGAACTACTTATAAAACCAAAATGAGTAGTACTTATAACGTTTAAAATTATAAAGTATATTTCAAAAAGACAGCAAAATAAAACTCGATCACATACTTACTTGTATATTAATAGGCAGGGCATTTATCCGATTGATAGTTCTGCCTAATTCACTAGTATCAAACGATTGACTTTCTTCAATCTCTAAGGGTTTTATGCTTTTATTCTGGGCGGCAAACATTTGTTTGCTTTTTTCTTGGTATAGCAACACTTGATCTGATGACGTTGTTTCAAAAAAGAAGATTAGAAAATGTTTAAATGTTGTTGCTTTTTCTAAAAAAACAAAAAGTTGTTCATTCAACCGCTGGTTTTGAAGAAGAAAAAGAAGTAATAACCGAATCTATGTCATAGTAACTCGAAGGGTTTCAGTTGTAGTATGGAGAGCGCTATACACTGATATTGGATGAAAGCCCTTTTATGGATTTTGATTATATATATATACATATATTGTTTTAAAGTTGTTCTTTTATGAAATTTGAATAAGCAACCAATCATTTCCTAGCGATGATCTTAAAGAATACAATATCTGCTTTGCAAGAGATCACGTGGTCATTGTCATTAAATGGCAGTAACCATAGTTATGTTGATTGATTTATCCATTTTGATAACATTGAGGACAAATTATAATTAGCAAAAAAGCGATATCAATAATTATGATTATTGTATTATGTTAGATGGTGGTATTAGTTAGGCCTAGATGAAGACTATTCACTTATTCTATATTTAAAAAAAACTGTATAAACTAATGATAATAAGTATAAATATTTCAGTCAGGAATGACACCAATATTGGAGAAGGTGTGGAAAGAGGGCAAGGTAACTGTGGATTGGTAGAAAGGCTACTTATTCAAACTGCCAAAAAAGGAGGCTTAAGTCAATGCGAGAACTGGCGCAGCATTATGCTCCTATCCATCCCCAAGAAAAATACTAAGCCACATCATACTGGAGAGAATAGAACGCGCTGTGGGTGGTGAAAAAAACGACATGAACAGGCTGGATTCAGGAGAAACAAGTCATGCATTGATCAAATTGTAACACTATGGATCACCACTGAACAGAGCTTGAAATGGCAGTCAGCTCTCTACCTTAACTTCATTTACTTTGAAAAGGTCTTCAACAGCGTCAAGTGAGAGGTGATTTGGCAACTACTTCGCTACTACGGGGTGCCACCAACAAGTATACACCTCATCCAACATTTGAATGACAATGCTGCATGCCAAGTAATCCACAGCGGGAAACTCACGTAATCTTTCGAAGTGAAGGCAGGAGTAAGACAAGCTGGCTACCTACTATCTGCAATTATTTTCTTGATTCCAGTAGAATGTATAATGCGACAGACAGATAGCGGACACCGAGAAAACAGGCATAAAATAGACCCACATAAAATCTTGGAGGATCTGGACTTCGCCGATGATATCTGTCTGATTTTCCAAAAACTGAAAGGTAAGCAAGTGAAAAGCAACAAGTTAGCAGAAGAAGCATCCAGAGAAGATAAGATTTCAGGTGAACATTCAGAAAACAGAGATGATGAAGATTCCTGGCCAACAATAGCAGCAACAACAACAGACAACAATCAGCCAGCATAAATGGGGGAAATCCGTAAGAAGCAACCTCCTTTACCTAACGACATGGGAAGCATCGTTTCAACTATAGGCCGACGGAACTGATGAGCATATCAAAGCACCGAGGATCAGGAAAGCAAGACAAGGTTTCATTTCTCTCAAGTCTGGGTGGAGGTCAACACTCAGCACTCAGCATGAAAAATAAGATCCGGATTGTCAACTCCAATATGAAGTCAGTCAGTGCTACTCACTATACGGATCAGAGACTTGGCCAACGCGTCACGAAGGGCACTTCGAACTACTACTACTACAGACCTTCATCAACAGCTGTCTTCGTTCAACACTTCGCTCAGGATCAGATGGCCGGCCAGAGTTGATCAGCAACAGGGATCTCTGGCAATGAACGAACCAACTCAGCAAGAACCGATTGTGCAAGAAATATGCATGAAGAAATAAAGATAGGTGGATTGGCCATACTCTGAGAAAACAAACCATCAAGTGAGTGACATCACACACTGGTCCATTGCTCGAGTGGAATCCTAAGGGGAAGTGGCTAGTTGGTCGTCAGTTCAAGGTTGGGTTGACATGGAGGAGGAAATGAAAGGATGTGGGCAGACATGGAGCCAGATGAAAAGGTTGTTAGAGAACCGAACGCAATGGAGACGTGCGTCTGAAGCCCTATGTTCCTCTAGGAACTAAAGGAAACAATAACAATAATATAATAATTTCAGTCAGACTCCAGAAAGAGTGAAAGTTTGATTTTTACGTTGAAACTCATTTATCAGTTACCAAGCTATGAGCTACACACGCAGACAGACACATTTAATATGTGACTGTCGATCATACCATACTAGCGGCAGTTCAACAGCATAACTTGAACAAAAGCGAGAAAAAACTGCTTACAGAATTCAGATTTTACACTTATTCAGTATTATCATTATTGTTCGTTTGAGATCCCAGTGGAACATATAACTTCAATGGTACATCTCTGTGTTATCCTATTCACTGTGGTCCTTTTAGGTTGGACAAACAATTTTCTATAGGCTGTCGTCTTTTTCTCAAACTATCTCCTCCATATCACCCTCGAACATTCAGCCAACTTGTCGTTTCCCATTCGGATTCCGCTTGACCGACAGATAGCCTGGTGCGCGATGTTACTCTATGGTCTTATCAGTGTGTGTCCAATCCATCTCTATTTCCTTTAGAACATTTCTTGTACGGTAGATTCTCATTTGATTCATTGCCAGAATTTCTTGTTGTCAGTTCTTCCTCATCAGCCATTCGATTTTCACTATGGAGTCAGCAAAGTAAGCAGTTGTTCATAAAAGTTTGCAATGGCCTGTTAGAAATGGTCTTCGTGACGCGTATTGCAAGTTCTTGACACATATAGAACACGTGGCTGACTTAACATAGTTGTTCAAAATCCGAATTTTATTCTTTATGCCAAGTGAGAGCAGAAGATTTCCGATTTGAATTTAATGCGATGAATGTTTGTCTTGCCTTTCCGATCCTGACTGGCTTTGGCATTCTCATCTGTGCTGTTGCCAGTGATTGAAACGATGCTCTGTTGATGAGTGATTAAAGTGAGCTCTTCCGAATTCCCCTCCCCCCCCTTGATAGTGATTACTGGCTGTTATGGATGTTGTTCGGTTGGTTATCAACATCATCTCAGTCCTCTCTGTGTTCACTTAAAGTCCTATCTTCTCCGGCTGCTTCTTCTGCCAACTCGTTGTTTTTCGCCTGTAGTTCTCAGAGTTTGTGTGACATTAGGCATAAATCGTTTACGAAGTCCAGGCCTCCTACACTCTTTCTATCGGTTTCAGGCACGACATAGGTGTTGAAGTAGTTTCTAAATTACTTCGTGATCAATGCTGTTGGAGAGCTTTCCAAGTTGATGAAGTTAAGGTAGGGATTTGACTGACATTTTGTGCTCTGTTCCATGATGATGCATAAAAAAATACAATTTTCTCAACACATGATTTGCTTTTCTTGAATCCAGCGTGTACGGATTGGAGTTCTGCATCCAATGCATATTTTTTATTCTCTCCAGGATGACACGACTTAATATTTCACTTGGCGTTGACAGTAACGTCATTCTGTAACAGTTACTTGCAGAAGCTTAAGTCATCCTTCTTTGATAATTTCACAAGGTAGATAGATACCTTTCCTTCCTTCTATACGTTTTGTAATAGTGCTGTGAGCATATCTACTCCAGCCTCTAGATCCGTTTTCACTGGAATCACTTTTTATTATGCCTAATGAATTACTACTTTTGAGTAAAATACATCCTGCTCAATTGGAAAACTCCAAGAAATGACAAAAGTTCAACTGCAAAGACTGATTCATATCAAAAGGATACTAAGATATGGAATTGTTGTTTATAAACAGGAAATTTCAGTAATGGGATTTAGCTTGTACAAATACAAAGAAAGCTAAGCTAAGTAAGTAAGCTAGAAAATGGACCTCTGAACAACCTTATCAGTAAGCTCTCATTTTATTGCCGATATATGGATGATACCTTTATTCTTTGTGATAATGGTTCCGATAGGAGTACAATAATTACTGAATTCAATGAAGTACATTCGGCCATGAAATTCACATGCGAAGAAGAATCCTAAGACAGAATTGCCTTCCTGGATGTTCTACTTACAAGAAAACCAGATGGTAGCATAAAAAGAAATTTGCACAGAAAAAGCACTTGGACAGGACAATATACACAGCTTCACTCCTACCAATTACAAAAGAAATTTAGTGAAGACCCTCAGCCACAGAGTTAGAGCTATATGCTGAGAAGAAGTAATTGAAGATGAATTAGGCATTGTATATGATACTTTAATCGAAAATGGCTATCCGGACAAATTTATAAAGAAACACATGACAAAGAAAGCGGAAAAGGACTACTCACTGTCTGTAAACAAGAAGCCTTTATATATACGACTACAATTCATGGGCAATATACCAAGCGAGATAATTACGAAGAAATTAAGAAAATCAGTTCAAAGAACTTTTAATGCTGGCGAACTACACGTATTATTCTCTACACGACCGATGGTGCTACCTCGACTGAAAGATGAAGTACCTAGACTACCTACTTCAAATTGTATTTATCAATTCAACTGCGCTTGTGGAGCGAGTTATAATGGACGTTGCTCTAGGAACTTGAGAACATATCCCACTTTGGCTAAGTAAAGGTGTAGTTAAAACTATTAACAGCTCGATATTGGACTATCTGGTGCAAACCTGTCACAAAGCCAGCGTAGAAGAATCCTTCTCTATAATCTACCGGGTGCCTAACAAATTACCAAAATCGTCGAAGCACCACTTGCTCCAAACAGCAGAGGCTATTGCAATTCGCCTCAAACAACCAGTGCTCTGTGTTCAAAAGAAACACGTCCAACCCCTACTACTGCCCTGGCCCTCAGTAGAAACTATAAACTCATGAATTTGTACTATTGCCTTTCATAATTCTTCTGACATTCATCTTATTTTATGTTGATGCTGTTCAGCTGTAATTTATCAATATTATTGGTTTAATGTTATTTAAACAACATTAATGTCATTCATAACACTAATTCATTCATTCACTATAATGTATATATAATTGTAGAGCCTGATGATGAATTTATCGAAAAGAGCATCCATTTTTTTGAAAATTTTAATGGGCATTTTTAATCAGTCAAAAAAAGCTTGTCAACAAACTTCAAATTTTATTCTCATCGGCATTCACTATACATTTTTAAAGGCTTAACATAAATTAAAATGCATCTTAAGTCACACACACACACACCAGATTTCAGCAATCATCGGTTAAATTTAGAAGAAACAGCAGCCCAATTAGTAAT